TGAATCAGGACATTTTTATCAAAAGCCTTGGCTTCCGATTTCGATGTAGACGTGAAACTTGGAATGAAAAACGTTTTTTTCTTTTCATACTCGTTAATTTCAGCTCTTGTCATGTCCTGACCTATTTAGAAAGTGTGAAAGGCTTTATTGAAACGAAATAGTTCAGTTCAGTAAGGCTAACCTCTAAAAACGATGCCATGAAAGCTCATTTTCGAGATACCAATACAGTATTTCAATTGCTTGATGTACTGACTGTACTCTTTCAATATCGGTGAATCGCTAGCTAGTGCCATATTGATTTTCGTACAAAACCAGCCTCTTTCCTGTGTGTACCGCCGGAAGCAATGGCCAATGCTTCTTGGTTTCTCATCTTCGGACAACCAGCCGGTACAGTACTTCAGATAGTTTGGGCCTTTACGAACAACTGGGAAGAATTCGACCACTTGTTCTGATGATTCCATTTCACTATAAACCTTGGGTAGTCTGAAGTCACTGTGGACACGAAGATCTTCTACCGATATTACTTGAGCAAACGTTGGACTCAGTGAAGGAACCAATGCAAAGCCGTTAGCCTTTTGCAAACATGACAACGGAGCAGCCATAAGAGGTATGCATTCATCCCTAGACCTTGAAAGTGACAAGGGTCGAAAAACAAAATGTTGAAAGCAGAATGTTGAAAATCCAACTCCCGTTTAGCTATAGATCTTGCTCTACCCAGCACTTTTATGCAATGTGCATACGTGCCATATTACATTCTGTTCGTCAAAGATTTACAAAAAAAATTCTGTCTAGGATCTACAGGATTTTTTATTTTTCGATATTTTGCTTTCGACGTGTGGTAACTTCGGCCAATGCAATGCCCAGGATTTGGTACCGTTAAAATGAATCCCATGGTTTTTGTCCAAAGACACCTAGTCAAATAACATTTTGTCGAGCAGACTTCACTACTGTTGCTTCTGTTTCTCTCGTTCTTCTTCTTTGTCAAGCCTGTCTATGTAGACAATATGTAGCACCACACTCAAAAGGATGAAATACAAAATTTTGTTTCCACAATAATTTCAATTTCGCATTACTCCAGAAATATAGAATCTGGAAATGGGTGAAGATTTCAGAACATCCGTGCTACAGTTGTGCCGTTTGCTTCGACAAAAAGCAATTTCAATGGAATATTTCCTCGACAAAATGTTGTTCACTGTAAATTTTTCAACAATCTCACATTTAACAAAAAGCATTCTACTAAAAACATACTTACTTATTTAAAGTAGATGTACACGACTGTAAATGTTGACTCAGTTGTTTGCTACTGTCGAAAATGCAACCGCAAATATGACATTTCACAGGAAGCTTGCTCATTTTTTTCTAAAAGAATTGCTAAAGAAATAAATATAAACGAATGATAGAAATGGTTATAAAACTAGAGAACTCTGGCATTTCACAATACAGAACGAAACATACTCAGTGTTTAATAGAGAGTGTAGCTCTGTATGGGTGGATATGGTATGGGGTGTGCGTTGGTATTCAATACTGACCCACACTCCACCCACACTCATGCCTACATCTTCACCCACATCCTCATTCTTATAGAACGGCTATGAACTTTATAGAAGAATCCTTGAGTGGTCCTACTGGCGATTGACGGAAGCGATCACAAAGCTTCCTGACACACTATTCGATCTTCACAGAAGAGCTACATAAATTTCATAAAAGTCTGAGTTCGATTCAGAAAAATCAGGTTTACATGAGGATATAGATTTTCCAGTGCACTCATTGTACCGATTTTTTCTTATATACTTGACAAGTTATCCGATCAATACCACTATAATACGACTGAAAGATCACTGTGCGCAAATGTCACAAACGTTGGATCAACTTCTACTCACTATATCGGCGAGAAGTTTTCGCTTTTTACAGTATTTTTGAAAGGTTGACACTGAACCCAGAAGTAAACCTATGATTTTTGTTCGTGTGAATCCGACAAATCCTTAATGCGATCAAGAAAAAGCACCATATCGTGAACACTTAAAAACGACCTCTAGAACATGTTGGCTAATAATCAAATTTATTGCATACCTAAAGCTGTTAGTAGAAAAGGACATTTGAATTCTATCTGCAGCGTATTTCAAATAGAAGTGAGACAACTTATCCATAACCTATCGGGTGAAACGAGTGATGTTGAATTGTTGGAAGGAACAAATACATGAAAAATAAACATGTTCCGTTGAATCATCTGAAGCTGTAAGTTTTAAAACTGCATAGAATTCAGATTTAAAGCTGACGTTCTGCCTACGAATATCGAACTCCAAGAACAAATAGTAATCTTTGACAACGCCAATCTGGCACATCGAAAATATTTCGCTTACTTTATATATCGTGAGTGGAAATCGATATTGCTTGTTTTTTTTTGGGCTGCACCTTGGTGATTTTTCTCTTTCTTCAGTTGATGATTTTTGGCAACATTTAATGAAACCTACAAGTGCACTTCTGACGCGAACACCGTACGAAGAAAAGAAGTATTAATCGGCATGAAAAAAAAACGGTTAGAAATGAATGATGCTTGTTACTCATAAAAGCATCGGCAGCGATGAGAAAAAGTAAGAGCTTCTGTTTCTTTCTGTATTAGTAAGCGAGGATTTAAGTGCGAGTGGGTATATGTATGTGAGTGACTGTGTGAGAGTAGAGGTGTAGATCTTCTATTCTCTCACGTCCACATTCACATTCATACCGTGAATATTTCAATCCATCACTACGTCAAATATCAGGCATTAAAAAAGGATGAGGTAAAGTGAGTCGACAAAGATTTTCTTTAGTTGATCAAGCGAACAAAGCATTAGCCGTCATTCCACATTTCTATGTACAGCATGCCTCTATGTTTTAGGCAAACTGATTCGTACCTAAACAGTTTCTTTAATACAATAGTCAAATCTGAAGTCATGAAAAC